ACTCAAAGCAGACCTTTCGTTCTAAATCAGAACCGGGTGGCTTGGTGCTGCCATAGGGCTCCAGGTTTGCTCTTGACTGTTTTCTCATCAATGATATGCTCACTTTCCACAGAGCAAGGGTAGTGGGCATGAAACTGCTGGGTGCCTGTGGTGACAACTGATGAGTAAATGATGGCTGTGTTGCGAGGAGGGTCAGGGTCCAGTGATGACACACATTCCGGTTAGCTGTAGTTCTGTCTGGAAGGAAACAGACCCACATCTCTAGTCCACTTGCATTTACCTGTTTCAAATGTTCATGGTTGCAGATTGGGATCAAAGCCACCCACATCAAGTTGCCAAGAACAGCCACAGAATCTGAGGTGAGTCATCATGCGGCCCTTGGTAGAGGCAGCTTGAAGAGCTGCACTCTCTGCGTTCTGGCACTTCTGAGACTGATGGGTTGGGCAGGTGTGGATCTCTAGGTAATTCTTTTTTCACAGGCTCTGCCTCCAGACAAGGAGCCCTAGTGGTGGAGTGGGTAACCTGTTGGGTTGCTAACCACAAAGTCAGGAGTTCAAATCCAGTTGCTTCATAGGAGAAAGATGAGGCTATCTGGTCCCTTAAAGGTTTATAGGCTTGGAAACCCACAGGAGCAGTTCAACGGTCCTATGTACGTCAGAATCTACTTGATGGCAGTGAGGTTTGGTTTTGGCCGTGGCCTCTTGGAATCACCAACAGAGCAAATGGTCCAGTCCTAGACTATAAATTTTTATTTCTCCAACTGTGATTTTGGCAAGATTTGCTTCTGTATCAAACACTGTCACCTGTGGGTAATTGAATTGCTTCCCTAAACCGTCAAGCAGATGAGGCCAGACTGTCAACATGCACCCAAAAGCAAGGATGCAAGGAGAGGGGTGGGGAACCTAGGTCGATGGAAAAAGAACAAACAGAACAGGAATAATGGCAGTGCTGGCACATTGAAAATTGTAGCCCCAGAACAGTCACACAACAGTTTGCATAATAATGATTGTCCAATGGAAATCTAATTTGCTCAGTAAGCTTTTGCACAATTAAAAGAAAAGTCATTACCAGTTCTTGGCCTATAGTTCTCTGCCTTTTAAAATCCACGTGTGTAAGATCACTCATGATCTTCAAGAACAGGCACAACCAATCAGTGATGTGGGTCCCAGGATGACTGGGAAGGGGTGAGAAAGGGGAAATCTCTGAGGTCATAGGAATGTTCTCCATCTGCACTGTGTGAATATGGTGGACACCATATGACTTCTGAAATTTAAATGAGCATTTGAAATTCTGTTTCTTGGTTGCACTGGCCACATTTCAAGCCCTCGCCCACCACCTGTGGCTAGAGACCATTCTCTTGGAAGGTGCACATGACCGAACTGTCTCACTTACCTCACCCAGTGTCACTGGCTAGTGCTGCTCTGTATCTTGACCTGGATGGTGCAGCATGGGCGTTCCTGCCGCAGTGATCTTTTAGTGAAGCTCTTAGATTTTTCCTTACCAGACCCCTGGGGGCTATAGTCTGAGTTAAAGTAGAGTTGTGTTCAGGGCTTAGAGGAGGAGGTGTAGAGTTTGAGATGACTATAATTTAACTCCTAAATAAATATAAAAAAAACCTCCTATGGGGGAAGGGGCGTGGGCTTTTTGTCTTAGAAAGTTTCTCTTCACCCTTTTTATTTGTATGTGGTCTCCAAATTGTCTGGGGCCCAACCTGTAGGTGTTGAAGTACATCGAGTCTTTGAATGGAGACGCCACCGTGCACGGCTTCATCGTGCAGCTCCCATTGGACTCCGAGAATCCCGTCAGCACGGAGGCGGTGATCAATGCCATCGCCCCGGAGAAGGACGTGGACGGGTGAGTGTCCTCGGAGGGCCTTTCCACGGCACCTGGAATGCTTCACCTACGATATATTTTCCTTCCAGGACTTACACCAGATCTAGTTCTGAAGAGTAAAGAGACCTAATGACTTTCTGTTCACCTGTCTGACTCTTTTAGATTGACGAGCGTCAGTGCTGGAAAACTTGCAAGAGGTGACCTAAATGACTGTTTCATTCCTTGTACACCTAAAGGATGCTTGGAACTCATCAAAGAAACAGGTAAAATGAATAAATAAATAAACCAGCAAAGCCCAAAGCATTACAAAAAAGGTGCCTCATGGCTGTACTGACTGACTTCCTGTTCTGTTGCTTACCTCTGTTGCTGTGGTTCTCAACCTTCCTCATGCCGCGACCCGTTAATACAGTTCTTCATGTTGTGGTGACCCCCCCACCCCCACCCATAAAATTATTTTCTTTTTTTTTTCCATAAAATTATTTTCATTGCTACTTCATAACTGTTATTTTGCTACTGTCCTGAATTGGGCTGCTCCTGTGAAAGGGTCTTAGGACCTCCAAAGGGGTTGAGACCCACAGGTTGAGAACCACTGCTCTATTGGCTTCTGATACCCTTTGCAGTGGCGTACGTGTAACTCAGACAAAATCCACGATTAAAGGGTTTATTAAGGAAGTTAACGAGTTGTAAGCCAGTGAGAAATGCTTGGGTTAGTTGTTTATCAAGACATGTTATTTAAAAAACAAACAAACCTGTTACAAAGTTTCTAGTCTACTAATAAACGCCTAAAGGGGCATAACACTGCTGTAAGCCTCAACTCGAAGGCATTTACTTCAAGCTCCATGGGTCAGCAAACCCAGCTCCCTGGATTAAGTGGCCAGAGACACCCCACTCCATAAGCCAGCCTCCTGCACAAAAGCACTTCACTTGCTCCCTGGATTGGGAAGTCCATAACTGTTCGATGCTCTGACTTACGGCCCTGCTGCTGCTTCTGTGATGGGATAGCTTTCATCTGGATCCGGGAAGTCCACTGTGCCGGGATCTCAAGTCCAGAAACCACGAGCTGCTCCTGGCTCTTGGTTGGTAATGAAATTCCCTCCCCCTGCATCTCGGAGGGCTTGTTTGATCCACAGCAGGATGGCACTCCAGGGAATCCTGTTTGCAGTTTCTCACAATTAAGTCCTAGCACTGTCTTCTGCCATCTTCTTACCAGACCTGGGCAGGGAAAGGTCGTTTTGGGGGTTAAAGACTTTGGTTAGAAGAGCCACAATTCACTGGCCCTGCAGGGCCACAGATAGATGGATTTGATTGGCAAAAGGGCCTGTCTCCTGGGGATTTTACTTAGCAAGTCACTTAATTTCCTCAGTAACCTTATGTGTAGTTACTGTTAGTCTTCAACAGCTGAGGGGAAACGGGCTTAGGGAGACTAAGTAACTTGTCCAGCATACTCAGCAGCTAAGCATGGAGCCAAGACTTAAGTCAAGGTTATTTGAGATTGAAGCAATTTCTTTTTGGGAGCTCAACAGCTTGTATGGTAGTAAAGGATGGCAAGGGACCAGGCATGCTTCATTCTGTTATACACAGGGTCCCTGTGAGGTAGAACCCAAGCGCTGGCACCTGCCAACAACAACATGATGATAAGAATTCAGATAGAATGAAAAGTTATAAAATGGAAAGTCCCTACCACTGAAGTGGACCCTGGGGGCTACTCCCCACTAGTAGTGGGGCTGCACCTATGTCTGGAAATGAACCCCTTTTGCAGTTGGCCAGATCACGTCGTTATCTACTCCACACCTTGGCATTTTAATTTGATCATGAATGCTTTTTTTACAGTGCATGTTTTTAAAATCGTGGTAACATAAAACGTACAATTTTGAAAAATCGCTCATTGGAAAGTGTGTGATTCAGTGGTGTCTAGTATATTCACAAGGCTGTACAGCCATCATCACTGTCTAGTTCCAGAATGCTAGATATCCCCCGACTCCTGCTCTCGAATCTGCTGTCAGGCAGGGCTTACTTTTACCAGGGAGGTGTGTCCTGTTATAGCAAGTGGGTCAGGAGTTGCGTGGGAAGTATTGGCCTGCTGCGGCTCCCTCCAGCCTAAGTGAGAATGTCTGTGGTCGGCAAGAGGAGGCAGAGCACTACGCCTGGGGCCCGCTGCGCCCTGTGTGCCCTACAGCTTCACAGACGACAGTGTGTGACCGCTGGATAAACACAGTCCCAGAAGCTCTTGCCACATTGGTTTTCCTACTCCCTCCTGGTGACAGTGAAGCTGCCATCAGCCCAGATTGGATTCAGGTCCTTGGCTGAAGGCTAAACAGGGCACCCAGGAAGGCAGCTCAAAGCCTGAGGTCTTGCCTTTCAGATACTCTTGATATTAGCTTTACAACAGAGTGCTCGATTTCTATTTTTATAAAAATAGATCGGTTTCTATTTTTATAACAAAAGGCGATTAAGTTAATTATATTTAAGTAGTGTACTTTCCACACAAACTGCCTTAGGCACGGTTTCCCTGCCTTCTGCCTTGTCTGCATAGAGACCTACCGACCAAGTACTTCAGGCTCCATTTCAGCTTGCCTCTTTGAGAGGGGCTTCACCCTCAGGTTCCACTTGGTGCCCCCCGACTCACCCACTCACTGCCTCCCAGTCTGTTCTGACTCATAGCAACCTTAAAAGGACAGGGTTTTCAAAACTAATCTGTTATCAAGGAGAAAGCCTCCTTTGTCTTCTGGGGACCAGCTGGTAGTTTCCAACAGCTGACCTGGGGGGTTAGCAGTCCAACACATAATCATCACACCACATTTCTGTCTTAATGTGAAGCAGTTGTAGAACTGGTTCTCGTTGGCTGGGGCCAAATATGGTCACTTGTCTGCCACAGATGGGGGCCTCGGACCATGTCGGCTGAGTGGAACATAAATTGTTCCTGGGAAGGGCAATGACCCATTACCAGGGGGTGTCAGTGGCTCAGGCGGCTAAGGCCTTGACTTCTAGCTAGGTGGTTAATGATTTGAGCCACCTGGAGCACCTGGGAAGAAAAGCTTGGCAGTCGCTTCCAGAAGGGCACATCCCATAGAGCCCAGTTAAGCAGTTCTCCGGCTCGTGTGGGCTCGCCTGGAATGCCCATGGACTTAACAACGAAATTGCCGGTGGCTGCTGAGTAGGCAAAATGAAAAGCTTACTTTCTACTACAATTAAGTTTCCTCTTTTTCATTTCCCTGCAAGTCGCCCTATTCCCCAGGCCCGAAGTCAAAAAGGAAATGTGGGTGAACTGTGTGTGTGAACTTTCTGAACTTAGAAAGAATCCTCAACACTGATCTAGTTTTCTTCTCTCCCAACCAACTTCTTTCCACGCACCCTGTTTGTTACAGCTGTTTAATGATGTCTCCGTCCGAATGACTATCTGGGTGGCTCTCGGGATTTGGGGCTTTTGTTATTTTTCCTTTCAGTGCAGGTTTTTTTTGACTCAAAAAATGGATCATGGCTTCCACTGCTCTGCAAAACCCACAGCAAGAAGCCCGCGTGTACAAATCCCAACTTATAGTTGCAACCCTAGAGTTGAGAATATTCTTCTAAGAACCTGTTTGGGTGCCTTGATTGCTCCGAGTTTTCTTGAAGGAGGCGTCTTCTTTCTTCCCATTCTGACGCACTCTGGCTTCTCTTCCAGGGGTGCAGATTGCTGGGAGACATGCTGTGGTGGTTGGGCGCAGTAAAATAGTCGGGGCCCCGATGCATGACTTGCTTCTGTGGAACAATGCCACGGTGACCACCTGCCATTCAAAGACTGCCAATCTGGACGCAGAGGTAAGGGGGCCGGAGTAGGGCAGAAGCACGTGCACGTTTGTTCCCCTCCCATTATCAGACTGGCTACCAGGTAAGTACCACCACCACCACCGTGTACTTGACCCTTATTCTCGCTGGTCACGCCTGTAACGGGTCCATGACTCTTGGTTGCAGTGGACAAAAGGAGGAAACAAACTCAGATTCAGACTTCCCCAACTTGACCTAGCTCGGAGGCAGAGGCGCCAGATTCAGGTTCATGATGCCCTAGTTCCAAAGTATTTTCCTCTCATGGGAAGAAATCCTGTCCTGTTAACCAGCCCCTTCCTGTCCCCCCAGGCTCTTCTGTCCACACTCCTTCTGTAGTTGGACCCCTCATGTAAATAAGGCTTACCAGTACAGATGCTGGGTCTGGACCCTGGCAGCCAGATTGCGTATTCTCACCAGGAGTTGCCTACTGCCCTGCGGTGGATGTGCTACTGAGGGACTGGGCAGTGGTCCTCTAGCATAGGTAGCTGTTTGTTCTTGACCCCTGCATTGGATTCTTGGGCCCAAGAAGTCTGACCTTGATGTGTCCCTGTTGAAAGCACAAGGATCTCGTTGCACAATGGTTAAACCCTGGGCTGTTAACCAGCAGTCCAAACTCACTTGCTGTTCCTCAAGAGAAAGCTAGGGCCTTGTGCTTCTGTAAAGATTACAGCCTCAGAAACCCCTGGGGGCAGTTGTGCCCTACCCTAGAGGGTCTCTGTGAGTAGGAGTTGACCTGACAGCAATGGGCTTGAAATCCTTCAGTTGACAGCACCATTTCTTAAATACGGGGACAGAGTGGAAGAGGGCCCAGCACCTTCCCTAATCCTTAGATCAGTGCTGTGGAAGGTGGTAGGGCCACAACCTCCAATGTTACACGCCAGGGACGGGGTCCCACGCCTGTGCTCCCCCTGCCCTGTAGGTCCACATCACCTTGTCCATTCAGGAACATCTGAATGAGAGGTACATCCTGCGAGCTGCAGGGGTATGCACGGTGCATGAAGTGGAGAGGAGAACACGTACGTGTGTGTGTCCCTGCTCTGGCCTTTAACCTGTGAACTAGCCTGATGCCATCTGAGAATTTAACGCGAGAGGTCATGTCCTTTTCGCATTTGGATTGTTTGTTGGAAAGTAACTGGTTTGTCACAAAAGAATGCTAACCATCTCGCTGTTAGTTTTCCTCCTCCTGTAATCCGTCAGACGAGTGCTGGGATCTGACGGATAAGGAATCTGGAGGGTTTGCAAGACCGTGACCCTCTTCTCTCTCTCAACTTCATTCATTTTGATTTTATTTGTGGAATATAACACATGCAAAGGAAAACATACCAGCTGTAGCTACAGTCCATCACATCACAGGGGCACAGTGTCAGGAACCCTCACGCATACAGCCCTTCTCTACTTTGCTGCCCCTCCTCTCACTCACTCCCCCAGCCCCTGGGCTCCTCAGAGCCTTCCCAGTCTTTCCCTTTGGTGTGCAAACCCCTTTCTCCCCCCTTAAAATAATGATGTCATGAAATATTTCTAAGATTGACTCCACCTTTGGATTTTTGTTGGTGGATTTTTTAAATCTCTCAAGCCAGACTCCACTGCCCGCAGGTGAATAAAGGTGATATCCTGGTGGTTGCCACTGGTCAGCCTGAAATGGTGAGAGGGGAGTGGATCAAGCCCGGGGCAATCGTCATCGACTGCGGAATCAATTATGTTCCAGGTACGTGTTGCTTAGCCCGAAGGTGGTTGTTGGTGGAGAGAAGGGTGGAGAAAGGATCATCAGGGAGGTTGACATGCCTGAGGAAGCACACAGTAGGTGTGGTTGCTACTGAAGGCAGGTCCACCTGCTGTCAGAAGTGGCCGTCTGAGCCCCCTTGCTCTACAGCCCCCGAGGTGATGCCAGGAAGGGCTTATCGCTGTCTTCATGTGGACATCACCCGTCAGCAAGGTGGTGGGTGGCGCTAAAGCAGGGTCATCCTTGCAGGCAGCAGGGTCAGTCCAGAAGCGGGGCCCCTCCTGCCCACGACCCTCTCAGGACTGGCTTGCTTTTTTTGCGTTCCTTTTAAACCTCGTCTTGGGAATAGTGGAGACTTGCCGAGCACATCGTCTGTGTGTTCAACAGCTCATAGACATCTTTCGTCTCATTGGCTATAGTCCCCCCAACGTAGCATCACTTACCCATTCCCTCCCTGTGTTTCCGGCTGCCGCTCCTCCTCTTTTCCTCACCCGTCTGAACTTGTCTGTGGGTAAATGATCTCCCTGGTGTGATTGTTGCCCTTCTGGACTTGGTGTTTGACGGCACAGCGAGCTGTAGGGTGAGCTTATTTCCAGACCCGCAGGGTGACTGAGGATGAGTCTTAGGAGGTGTCACCAGTCTCTGTGACCAGTAAACCTGATCTATCTCTCTCTCTCTCTCTCTCT